ACTCATGTGAACATTGTTCAACAACTGATTGTGTACAGACATGCGCACCTGGATTGTATGGACGTACATGCTCTTTAAGGTGCAACAATGACTGTTTGTCTTATCCTACCGCTATGACAAATGACACTTTGACAAATAACAGTTCCCACTCCTGCATATCTGAATGTCAAAGATACAGTGGCCAGTGTATTAATGGTATGTATATATGGTGTGTATCGCTTTTGTGTTTACTTGAAGTCTGTTACTGTTTCTGCCGTTTGACGGAAGCTCCCTTTTTTCCCATTATTTCAGCAGGAATTGAACCTACTACAGATTAATTGTTTGCTACCCTTTCCTTCCTCCTCTGTGAAACCGCCAGGATATCAACGTATTGCGTTTTATTTTAGCAAACCATATGGAATGTACCCCTGTGCCCCAAACCTGCCATGACATTTTAAAACGTGTATTTTACTATATTTCACTTTATAGCTGTATTTTACATTCTACTTTTAGTACTATATTGTATATACTAAGCATATTTTGTGTTCCAGATATCGATGTTTTCCGCATATTTTTCATGCTTTAATAGTCTTAAATCGTCTTCCATAACTCTTATCAAAAATTAGGCTCGTTACGGTTCGAGTTGTTCGCTACCCTTTTCATCCCTCATCTGCCAAACCTAATATGCACACTCTGTGTTGCAACATATTCCCTAAGTGTTCTCTAATTATAGTCATTTTGAGTTGAAAATGATGAACATTAAATCTCAAACGCATAGTATATTAGTTTCCATACATAGCATACTGGCCTATATTCATTTATAACAAACGGCCTATTGTACTGTCATATCACATCAACAGTATTTCAGGCTTAATACACGTAGAATAAACAAAAAACGAAGACGAAGGCCAGTGACAACAACTATATTATCACAAATATAGATGAAAAAATAGCATGTAAGTCTAAAATAATCAATACAAATTACAACAGGTTATATAGATGACTGAAGCTAGATCAACATACTAGGACCGTTCGGACTTACGGTACCTTCGTTTCCTGTATAGCCTCAAGCTAGATTTACCCCATCATTTCAGCCGTTGGCGACTGTGCTATTGATCTAATTAAAAACGTATTTGATAAATTCTTTCAAACACTTGCAACTGTTAAATGAAAACTAATTGTATTAAAATAAATAGATTCCTACTGTTTTTACGCTGAAATTATCGTCCCTTATGAAGGAGTCGAAACATGCGGACACAGATTCGGTTCGTACATGTGTTTGCGTTTGTCTTATTTTCCCTCCTTGTCTGTTTCAGACCGGAGTGCCATGAATGACGCCACAATTGGAATCACAGTTACACTGGTGGTTCTGGTCTTTGGAATCATCGTAGCAGTGTGCATTTGTCGCTCCAAAGGCGTTTCCATAAACAGGTCTGCTTATAAACATACATGACGTGTTGCCCACATAACCTTGCAGACTCTAAGCTAATATTTGATTGGAAGAGATTATGTATAACAACATTGATTGTCATGATCATTACAATTTTAACCACAATTGACCCATGAAAACATGATTAGTTAACTATGTGAATTTATTCAGAAATATTTCTATATAGATTTTATTGCGGACTGAAAATTTGTATGAATTTTGATTTTGTAGCTGAGATATATGATTTATATATTTCAGTTCAACAGAAGAACCCTACCAGATGGCGGACATCCGTCCACAAAGTGACCCAAATAAGCATGGCAACTCATCTAGGACGTTCCGAAACTCAGAACATACCTATAGTGAAGTCAAAGAACACGAAATGGGACCAGTCGTCGTATTCCTATAAGTTTTATGCTTTACTAAATGTGAGATACAATGTAATTGTCTGTCGATGTCGTAACAGAACCCCTGTGTGCCACAACTTCAGCCTTTGGTGTCGTTAAATCACAATGTTTGAAGCACATTCAAACATGCCGCTTCTTCGAAGATTTCAATGTGTGTCTTGATGGAATCTTTAAATGTCTTATGCTGGCCTGGTGCAACACGCTAATCCAGATCTTCACAGGGGAGAACACATTGTAATGAGGAAAAAAAATAGTCGCTGCCGTATGGTTTCGTTTGGTTTTATGTTTATGCTGAAACAGATTGTCTGTTCCAGGTTTTATTCTAATAAAAAAGTTTTTTCGTAATTTTGTTTATGAAAAATCATTCCATTAACCGTGGCGACTGGCTTTGGTTGTTTATACAGTGGTGTTTGAAAAGAAGTATCTAAACGAACCCTAAAACATTAGTGTCTACCACCACAACAAAGTGGAATCATGCATTCTGATTGATGAATCCTACTCTTTGCTTTTTGGGTTTAAAGACGGACTCACCAATTGATATATAAACATCTCGACCAGAGAATCACGTGATTGTCACCATGACCATCGATCAAGGCACTTATGATAGTAAGGTATCCACTCAGCGAGCCTAACCTGCTGAGCCCGTTAGTCGCCTGATACAACTGTATTAGGTTCTCTTCCTATATTCTCAATACAGCATATAATTTGTCGTTGACATGTCCAAACCTCTCGCTAGTTTAAATGTACAATAAAATTTACACCAGTATTTCCAATCCGCGCAATTTAGAAGAGTGTATTTCGGTATAAAGGCCAACGACCTACGTACAGAAATGACATACATTGATTGTATAACAATGACGAGGTGACAAGAAATTCACTTGAACACTGTAATTACTCATTCAAAAACAATTTCCTTTTACACACTCATTGATTCCTCAAAAAATTGTGCACAATTGTTGAGCAAGATAGTGGTTTAAGAACAATAGTACAGTGTAAGATATCTTATTCTTGAGTTATGGTAGGCAGGATATTCTAGTTGATAATGATATTCGTTTTCGGTTAGTTGATAATGATATTCGTTTTCGGTTACACGAAGGTCACACATTAAACATTTTCTTTCGAGACAGGGCGATCGGTTTGGCCAATATGGGGGCTACACCTGCAGCCAGGTCACCACCAGCAAATTGATAAACCGCTATAGGCAATCAGGCCAGACCCAAGACCGCCCCAGATCGGGTTGACCAAGCAGTTATGACACCATCGAAGGCCGCTTCACCTGGCAGATCTACCTCCGAAACAGATTTGTGACGGCGACAATACTAGGACACAATATCAGCAGAAAAAGGTCCTTCGGCGACTTGGGATGGCTGGTTACGAACCCTATCGTGGAATGGTCAAGACTGTCAACGCCGACTGCAATGGGCGCGAACCGTATGTCGATGGAAGCGTCACTGTATGGGGTAGCATTTGTGGCCAGAGAACAAGAAGACTAATTATGATGCGAGGATATATGAATGTCCAGTGATGCAGGGATGAAGTGTTGAGACCTTCAGTTGTGCCCTTTTTTTGCAACAGCCAAGAGGAGTCAATTTCCAAGACGACACCGCAAAGCCTCACATCACCAGAATTGTTCAAGATTACCAACATAACGTTAACGTCAACGTATTGCCTTGACCAGCGCGTTCTCCAGATATGAACGCCATGGATCATCTCTGGGATCATCTTAACCGTCAGCTCAGATAGCGTGTACCACCTCAAGCGAACCGACAGGAACTTGAACAGACTCGTGGACTTGTTGAACAGGATCCTGCAACGTCATCCACCGACTAACAACGTTAGTAAGGAGACGTACGATGTAGGGATGTCCATACAGGGTGGTCACACTCGCTAACATGTGCCCTGACTCCTGTCTCGTGACTTCTTGGTGCACTGTTTTAATGAACTCTGATTTGTGTAATTGTCATTTTGACCCCTTGACCTTTTTTGTAGTGAGCTGCGGTAAATGCAAAGCCAGCATTACAATGAATTTTCAATCAAATTATTGGAAAATGCTTTCTGTTTGCAAAAGATATTCACATAAAGCTCATATACGTCTCGAAGCCGGGGAAGTTTCCTTTGCCTGTCAATTTATATTCGTATTATGGCATACAGTGGCCAACACGCAAGGCGGGTTATAAATACATTAGCAGCAGGTGTCGACTAGCAGCGAGTGTGCACAAAGCCGGGCGTAACGCACAAGGGAACGAGAGGCTTTATTCACGGGACAGATATCGCACAGTCAATTACTGCCCTTAACGTGTGTTGATTCGGACCTACCCAGTATAACTTTGGTAAGCAACCGTACACTAGTTTTTCCTCTCCATTTTAATAGCGATGAAATCGTTATTTTTTTGTAAATTATCTCGCCAACTACCTTCCACCTAGGTGTAGTTGGTGCTTCGTCTGGGTTTCATGGGATTAAGGTAATAATGAGGCCAATGTGTGCTGGGATCACCCTACACATTGTTGCTGTATTGACGTTTTAGAAATCTGTAAATATTAACTTTTACAGTGAGTTACGAGACAAAGAGTCTACCGACAAAGGGTAGTAAATTAACTATTACTGTTACAGATAGATTTAAAAGTAGCATGGATAATGAGGGGTGGGGAGTGAGCACCCTGCTCTGGATCCGCCCATGATGTTTTAAGAGATATCCATAACACAGTGTCATATTTGCATTTGTGCCATCACCCTTTGCATCAAAACCAGGGCCTTGTCCCACGACGCGATCGTAGCGAGTAAAGGTGAGGGCTACAGGTAAAACTCCCCCAGACTTAAGCAGACTTATGTTTGCGGTTGCGCTACGATCGCGTCGTTGAACATTGTCGGCCTTTGTACCCTGGATTCCAGCCTGGGTCTATGTTCAAAGATTGTCCTCAGTTATTATCATTGTACCATTGATATGAGCATAACCTTTATATATTCCCATTACCTGTACTGTCGGTGAACTTGATATGCTATTGTAATTTCTTTGCATTACATTGTATTTGGTTTGTAAACTTAGTTAATCTTAATATCAAATGCTTCAGTGTCAAACATTTCGTTGTTGATTGTTGGTTTCTGGCTTAGTTATCCTTACATTAAATTATGTGTCTTAAGGTGTGTCTGTACAATGCAAATGTGCATCACCTTTAATATATATCAATTTTGACAGTAGACATGGAGGAGGAATGTGAGCCTGGAAAATATGGGAATAGTTGTAGTCACAATTGTTCTCAGAACTGTGAAAGTCTTCCAAATAGCATAGTGCTCTGTGACAAAGAAACCGGAGAATGCTTCGCAGGATGCAAAGCTGGTGTGTACGGTGACCTCTGTGATCAACTGTGCAGCATAAATTGCAAGGAACACACATGTAACCAGCTCAATGGACACTGCACTCGAGGCTGTAGAGAAAATCACATCGGCGACTTCTGTGAGACCCGCCAAGAGGTGCATCAAGGTTAAAAAAGTTTAAAACAATAATATAAGATGAGTGGAAAGTGAACCTATAATTCGAACGATGAAAATATGAAATACTATTTCCAATATCATCTTGATAGACGTAATTCAAAGTTGTATTGTATTTTGATAGATGTGTCACGTATAAGATATTACTAAGATGTGTGGATAACTTAAGTAATAACATCTAAACTGCAATCGTCTCTTCTCCTTTGAAATACAACGTTGATGATTAATACGTTCATCATTGCGCAGGTACTACCTATAGCAGTGCAGGTACTACCTATAGCAGTGCAGGTACTACCTATAGTAGTGTAGGTACTACCTATAGAAGTCCATTCTGTTATTCATCGTTGTGGACTTTGTATGTTCAAGTTCTCATAAATGCTTTTATATATCATTGCGCAGGTACTACCTCTAGCAGTGCAGGTACTACCTATAGCAGTCATACAACCGTTTCCACAGGTGTGGCACCGACAAGCAGTTCCCAGGTCATCATTCCAGTTGTTGTAACAGTACTTGTCCTTATCCTTATCCTTGTGGGCGCAGTGGTTATCTTCATATGGTAAGTTCTAACTGTTCGTTTTGTTCATTTGCTGTGTATCGCTATAATTGGCACTGTGCCAGTAATGTGACAATAGCCAGTAATTAATTCACCATCAGGCATTAATTACCAATCAGCCAGACAATCTATTGATTTATATAATGGACATCGATCCACACAGTAGGGACAGCCTGTTAAACATCCGATACCATTAATCGTGACAAAATACACACCTCAAATAAAACTCTGTTGGGACGTGCCTCTCGGATCGAGGTTGAGAGTGAAATGTGTTTTGATAGGAGTATCCTGTAGCTGTTATCGTTAAGATCAGGGACACCACTTGCCACAGTTGATACAGAAATGAATGAGCAGTTGTGAAAATACCCATAACACTAGGCTTTCTTTAGACATGATTGATCACGTAGGAAATACACAAGGTAGAGTACCTTCCATAGATCAGTACACGGCCTGCGACAGTTATTAAACCGTAACCACAATAAGTAATCAATCAAACTTCAAAGACAATGTTTCTTGGTATTACTTGTCTCTTTTTTACCATCATACTCAGAAGAATTCCAGCTATATGACAGTAGCCTTACAATAAGCGTCCTTTATTCATGCCATAATCATCGACACACACAACTGTGATATGGTGACAGCATCGCCAAGCCAGTTGGGCCACCCTATCCCCTTTCTTGACTGACATGAGTTACCGAATATCAAATAACTGCACGAGACAATATTGTGCACTGATGGCGACGCATTGAAATGGCAAATCTATTTCGAGCTGCGTCACATAAAGAGAACCTGTGACAAAATGACAGCTCAACTACAACAATACTCCCGATTCATTTCTACAACGATGTGCAGTTTATTGTGACATGCCCCTGGACAGTGAAGTCTTGGTGGCAGTATCATTAGTGAGTAATATGTTGTAGTCAAGAAAATCAGAAATAACACAAGCTACATGTGCTGCCATGAGAGGTTATTGATAAGTAAAAGTGTCCACAACAATGGGTTTTCATTAAACATGATTTATAGTGAAGTAATATTCAAGTAGGAGTCACTCATACAGATAAGTGCATTTGACCAAATAAATAGAAAGTTGGTTGGTTGGTTTGGTTTGTTTTACGTCGCAATGAGCCATATTCCAGCTTTATGGCGGCGGCCTGTAAATAATATGGACCCAACAATCCAATATGTTCGACATCGTGAACATGGTCCTACGCAATTAGGATACGATGGCACATTTTAAGTCAGCGAGTCTGACCACTCGATCCCATTAATCGCCTCTTGATCTCTTTAATCGACAAGCATTAGTTGCTCAAGACCAATTCTATCCCGGATATTCACGGGTCTCAGTCAGACGCGGGCTATGGAACTGTGAATGATTTATACCAGAACGATATATCTTCTGTTAGCCGACACCAAATATGATTCATGACATGACTTCAACAGGGTGACAAGTTACAAATAATGCAGTCGAAGCTGATATTCCTTTTCAATGCTGAACTGAACAAAACCTCGTCTAAGTCATCTGGAGGCTCAGTTGTGTTGGCAAAGGTGTTTACATTTACCAATATTAATCTTATGGATAACTGTTTCTCTTGTATTTCGTTTCTACTTTAAGGCGCAGAAAGAAGGAGAGGAAAGAAAGTAAGTATATAATAATATATACTGTACTCATTTCATAGAGTAACCAATCCCATGTGTATCGGACAGTTCTGTTAAGCTGTATTTGTGGTGTGTCTTTACGTCTCCCAGACGAAATCTGTGGGATTCCCATGATAGATTCGGTGACATATTATTGCTGTAAGATGCCACTGAAATTGATAATTTCACCAGTCGACTGATTCGCTTCTGATATCACCGACCTATCTCTCTTGTGGATTCGTATGTATTTGTGGGTCGATCTCAAATGTCCTTAGAAATGTCCTTGAGTTATTGTCATTGCACCCACTAAACTCACGGAAATCCTGTTCTTGGCCATGTATATTGATAGGCTATTTTGTTTGCATTCTTTCTGGTTCATGCTTCAGAGCATTCGTGATACGTGAGCATAGAATAGATAAACCTCAATATGCTAAATTAGTATACATTACATGTCATTTCCTTTCAGGAGCACGTGAACCCGGAGTTATGGAGGAAATTCTCCATGGTAGGTCAAACAATGATACTTACCAAAATTAATGTAATTATCTCTTTTCTTATTCTGTTTAAGACAAATACAATACGTTCAAAACCAGACCGATCACAGTTCCAGATGCCTTTGTTCACAGGCCGTCACAACATAGCTTGACGAATGCATGGGTGGAGTCTACTAATGCCTACAGTGAATAATACCTACAGCGTTAAATAAACAACTTTACGCACCAGTGCTGCTGATTGCACCTGCCTTCAACCTTTCAATAAAGTGGCATGGTCCTATTTCAAAGTGCACTAATGCCTACAGTATATAGAAAACAGTAACTTTCTATGTTGAGAGACATTTTATTTGGTCATTCATATACATATGTACATTCATATACATATCTTTCACATTGTTGTCATATTTTTCTTAATTTTCTTAAACTTTATTCATATCCTTTTAGATAAATAAATTTACATAAATAAACATAATCATTTATTTGGATTAAAATGTAATTAAAACTTAATTTGATTCATGATTATATATACATATATACATCTTTCACACAGTCAACTACCACATTCATCAATAAAGTCATTGTGGTAACCAAAAGTAATTTACATGTATACACACAGTTTCACACATTCATCAACATAGTCATTTGGTTTTCAAGCTAGCTTGATCAAATATCCTGCAGCAGTCAGGAATTCCAGGGGTGTCTTGATACCAGATGTCAGCTGGGCCTTCAGACGAGTGAGTCTCTGGTCAATTTCTGTGTACGTCCCTCTTGCGGGGTGGGGACGGGCGCCATGAGCCATCTGCACCAGCTTAATTCTCTCCGCTTTCTCAGCTTCTGCAGAACCTTCACAAGAGCGAAAATGTTCGGGTGGGCTCTCTGGACGGTCTTGTTGAGATGCGAATGCCAACCCTCGAGATGATTGTTCGTCCTTGGGCCGCTGGTGTCGTGGTGATTCCATAGTCCGGCTCGGAACCGTGCATGGTCGTCTACCCAGGTGCTGGTGATGTAGTCCTGGAACTCATCCTTCTGTCCAATGGCAGGGCGTCGTCCATGACCTCTATCCAGGCATTTTGTACCATGGCCACTGGGAGGAGGGGGAGTGCTGCTGCTCGTCGGACCCATCTGTGGACCTCAGGATCCTGCTGGTAGGCTTCGCTGAAGCCGAGGTTCTGTACTTTCCTCCAGAGAGCCTGGCTGTAGTGGAAATAGCATCCACGGACGTCGCAGTTGGGGAAGACGGTCTCAACAGCGTTGATGGCAGCGATTTCGAAATCCGTCTGGATGACATCAGGCTGAAAGGGCGATCCCGTTGTCTGCTGGATCTTGTCGTTCAGGAGACGTAGCAGGCGTTCATAGGTGCGGCGTTGACGATTCGGCAGTAGACAGAAGACCAACTGGGTCATCTTCCCTCCGACTAGGCCATGGATGACGTACAGATGATCCCAGAGAGGAGGACAGGAGTAGAAGGTGCCGTCCATGTAGAGGGTGTCCACTTCTTGCAGGAGGGTCAGGCGGTCACTTGTGGCGAAGCAGAGAATCTTGTCATCATCACCGTCATCGGTGGCGGCATCATCTTCCGTCTCTGCTTGTAGAGTCCACTCTTCATAGAATGGAACGACTTGACTGTTGCTGCTTCACCACGGTCAAGTAGGGAAATCTCCTCATCGTAGATCACCTGAACTGGCGTCGTCTCAGTCTGTACCCGCTGCCTCAGGGAACTGGCAATCTTCAGAGCTACCTGGTCTTCTTGTGGGTGGTTGTGTGGGGTCTGATTCCGAACAAACTGTCCGACTGTCGTACACTTGCCAAAGCAGCCACCTTGAACACACTTCCAGTGTACACACGTCTGTCGCCTGTTGTTGAGTCTGTAGCGGTATCCCTCCAAGAGTACCTGCTGTCCTCCTTTCTGTGATGTGAAGTATTCGACTTTCTTGGGATTTGCCATGATTTGCAATGAAGATTTGTATCACAAGCATTTTAAAGCAATACATTTCCTTCTCCCTTTAATAATCTCTCAATTAATTACTCTATTCTTCAATTTTAAAGCAATACATTTCCTTCTCCCTTTAATAATCTCTCTATTAATTACTTTACTCTTCAATTTCCTTTTCGTGTGAGAACTAAATGCGTATGGAATTATCAAAACATAAGCTAGCTAACGATTTAATACTCTTGATCTTACTCTTTACTCTCCTTGCTGGCCTCCCCTAATCCCTTTGTAGGCAATAGTGCACACTAAGTGGAATAATCTACTTGTGTGCAGGTAAGCGTATCGTTGTCACTGCAAACGTTGTAGCTATTATTCCCTGTAGGCATTATTCACTGTAGGCATTAGTAGACCTAACCAATGCATGATGGACTACCTAGACACTGCTGGGTACCACACATGGGCGTCTGAGATCCACCATATACTTTGCTCACACGGCTTTGGTTTTGTCTGGTTTTTCACAAGCTGTTGGTGATCCGTGCGCTTTAATTCACATTTTTAAATCTACTCTTGAAAACAGTTCACGTTATACATTATATGCAAAATATAAGAGTCTTCTTGAGTCTGAGGGGTATCTGTCTTCAAATTTGGAATATTAATTCCGTAAAGTATTGGTCAAATTCAGAGCTGGTGTCTTATGTTTAAAGAATAACGTAGGTAGGTGGCAGAATATTGATGTATCTCAAAGAAAGTTTCCTGCATGTAAATTAGATTTAGAAGATGAATAACACTTTTTGTTGAAATGTCCAGCTTATAAAGATCTTCAGGACAGATTTTTGCCTGAGAATTTGCAAGTAAATATGATATCGTTTAGAAATATCCTTAAACAAAACAAAACTGAAGACATAACTAATCTAGCTTGTTTTATCTATTATGCGTACAAAATAAGAGAAAAATAGAACTAGGTATAAAAATCCAGTACAGCTATACATGTACATATTTATGTTACTTATTTTTTTCACTGGGGGTGTAAGGAAATCTACTCAGGTAGACCGGTAAATGCTAAATCTTTTAAGAAATTGTTTCCTGTTTTCATACCTGTTTCGAATATGTATATTAATATGTATATGGGCCTCTGGCCTTCATACGTAATAAAGATTTTGATTTTGATGGAACGGTTACTTCTTGGACGGTAAATTCTTCTGTTAGCATTCCTGGCAGCCATTTTTGTCAACTGACCTAAGAAAGTTCAGATGTTAAGGCTATTTTAAATGAACAAAGACACTTTTATGAAAATCTATACTCATCATATACTATATAAAATAACCGATAACTATATTAGTACATTTGAGGATATTTTTACACCAAAATTAAACACTTCAGGCTGATATTACTATAGATGAAATAACACAAGCTGTTAAATCAACGAAAAAATGACAAAAGCCCAGGAATAGATGGTTTCTCAATAGATTTTTTTTTCTGGAAAGATCTTCATATTTGGGTTTGTACACATATATCAGAAACATTCAGGCAAAATGTATTAAGTCTAACAATAAACAGGGGCGTCATCACATGTGTTCCAGAAGCTAACAAAAATAGACAGTTGTTAAAAAACTGGCGCCTAATTTCCCTACTGCATTCTATGTATAAAATACTCAGCACATGTATAGCAAATATAATTTTTAAAAACACTGAATGCACTTGTTCATGAAACTCAGACAGATTTTATACCTGGAAGGTGTATCAGTGAGAACATTAGATTATTATATGACATTGTTTGAGGCAAAATTTCAGGGTAAAAAAGGGACTTTGAAACAGCTTTTGACATTGTCTCTAGATAATTTATAATTCTAACGATTGGAAAGTTTGGCTTTGGACTCAATATGGAAAAATGGATCAAACTATTAATCAATACTGCTACATCGTGTGTTATACAAAATATACATTTATCTCAATTTTTTTAAATGAAAGGGGCTGTGGACAAGGGGACCTAGTCTCTGCCTATATATTCCTCTTAGTGGCTAAATTTTTTAGGAATAATGATCCGTAACAACGGTGCAATAAAGGGAATTACATTGAATAATGCTGAACATAAAACTGGACAGTATGCACCCGATCCTGAATTATTTCTTGATGGACTTGAAGAAAGTTTAAGGGCAGCAATTGACACTCTCAAACACTTCTACAAAATGACATGTTTAAAAAGAAATATAGATAAAACTACAGCATTTTGGATAGGCCAAAAGGCAGATATTAGCATGATTTTGTGCCAGGATCTTAAACTTGATTGGCATAATGGGGATTTTGATATTCTATGAATAAGGCTTAATCCTAACTTAATAACCTTTAGGTAATGAATACAAAAAAAAAGCCTAGAAATTATTAATAAAACTCTAGGGAATGGGAGGAAAAGAAACTTGACATTAATAGGGAAAACACCTGTTGTTAAAAATGTAGCACTTTCATCATTGGTGCATATGTTCACTTCACTCCCAACTCTTCCAAAGGAATTCATTGACAAATTAAACATTATATGTTTTCATTTCATCTTGAATGATAAGCGGGATAAGATAAAACGATCAACACGTATTAGAAAATATCAAAAAGGGGGGTTAATGTAGAGTTATTCATAAACTCATCAAAACTGTCAGTTTTACATAAATATCTTCAAAATAAATGCAGTACTAGCCCTAGTACCTTTCCAATCAAAGATGTATTTCTGCTTGGAGCCAATATTGAAAATTATGTCAATATTATGAATCCCTATTGGAAAGATGCATTGACTGCATGGGAAATATTTCATAAAACACATAAGAATGAGTTTACAGATATTGATCAAATCTTATCCGAACCGTTTTGGTTCAATCATCAATTCCAAAATAGTAATTTTATTATAAGACATTGGCATCTGAAAGGTATTCACTGTTTAAAAGACTTGTGTAATGATCAGGGTATTTTGTCATTTAGTGAACTTACAAAATTAAAGGCACAATTCTTGATTATTATCAGGTTCTTTCAAATATACCAAAATGTTCATAATCATTATCTTAATTCCACTGGTAGGTTTACTTTCGGCACATATCCTGATCAAAAACATATAGACATGTGAAAAATGGCAAAATGTCTTTGACATTGCAATTCCATGATTAGCAAAATATATAAATGTACAAAAGATATGAAATTGATTGACTTCCAGTTTACATTTATCCACAATATTGTCTACACAAAAAAAAAATACTGAGCATGAAATTAGTGGATGATGAACTTTGCTCATTTTGTAATATAATGTCCGAAAATTCGATACATTGGGAATGTGACTGTGATACAACATTCTGGTTGAAACTGAAAGAGTATATTGAAGATAGATAATCAGTACAGTTAACCCTGACAAAAAATACAGTCTTAATTGACGGAAATTATACCGACCTAATGAACCATATACTTCCTGCCAGAAGTTATGAAGTTTTAAAAAAGAAGAAGTTATCACTGGATACATTTGTAAACAAAATATTGGGTGATCTTTTCAGGACAGAAAAGTTTCTTGCCAGTACAAATTTTAAAAATATATAATTTGACAGAAAATGGTCATCTCAATTGTGCACACATTCCAACCTTAATACTAATGAAATTTCCAGAATGTGTAATGCCTATCCATATGAATTTCTCTCTTATTGTGTACAAGTTCTCCTGCATTATGTATTTTGTATATTTGTATCTACTGATTTCTACTGAAAAACGTTACATGCATAGAGTTAAGCCTAGCCAACAGCAGGCTTAGGATTAAAGTCGAAAATTACACAGACTGAAGTTTAATACTTTTTTGTGAATATGAAAAAAACATGAGTCTTAAATCAAAACTTAAGTTTTTTATTTGGAACTAAAGTCATTGTTTTAGACTTATGTCATTTTAAGAATACCACCCCTGGTCTTTGCCCAAGATCCGGGTTCGATTCCTCACATGGGTTCAATGTGTTAAGCCCATTACTGGTGTCCCCCGTCTCTGGTGATATTGCTGGAATATTTGCTAAAAGCGGCGTAAAACTAAATTCACTCACTCACTCTTTCATTAAACTGTGTGCACACACAGGTTGTCAAATGATGCCTTGTGCTACTCGGGCCGTTAAGAATTTATGTTTCGTCCGTTTCCATGGCAGCATGTTCGATTATTACTCTGTTCGTAGTGTTGTGTCTGTCAGGACCATATCTCGAACGGGTACTAGCTACTTTCACATGGATTTACAGTGCAATAACAAAACCCAGGTTCTCAACTGCTGCCTTTGGCTATTAGGGATTTTTAAATTTTTATTGTTTCCTTTGACTGTGATATTGGCGTAGAGGTGCTAAGTTACGAATCCTAATTCCATGTTACTGTTTTGATAGCTCAATTACAGCTCCTGTATACGGACGGGCAGAAATTCTCTCTTCAGTAATAAGAGTTTATACATTTTAAACAAGTTGCAAATTAGGGGACATTGTTAGCTATTCATTGTGAAAGTGCCCATGGCTGTCAATGCCTAGCAGTTTCTGCTCGAAATTGAACGTAATGCTCATACATTTTCTCAGATGAATATTTGGCTCAGTAAACATCCTTTGATCCAGATGATAATGTGTCTTCCTGGGTAGTGAAAATTTGGTTGTTCGATTTCCTTGTCTCGCCTTGCAAAGACATATTAAAGGTGTTACTGTAAGCCTGCCTGATGCTCGGCATTACGAGGAGTGACCAGTGTGCATTTATACTGCGACATGGCATCATAAGTGGAGTAATAACATAAAACATTATTGTTTCTTAGTATATCATAAAACTACATGTTTAGCCAAAGCTGTTGCACTGATACTAAAGAGATTTAGTAACAGTGGAAATTGATACTCACACACACACACACACACACACACACACACACACACACACACACACACACACACACACACTCTCACACACACACACACACACACACACATATTGTATGTATAGATCATTTAATCTCTTCATTTTAGATTTTGCTCCATTGCGTCAACATGGGCAGGAAAGAGACGAGGATAAACAGGTACCTGCAAAACATTTGATCATCAGGAACCTAAAAGAAGTACCCTGGGAAATTATCTGACTTGAACAAATAACATACGCAATCCCATCTCGATGCAATTGAGTTTGGTATATGTAATTACGCATTCGGAACGTGTTTGTAAATATACCACTTTCATTGTATGAAAACATGGCCATGAAGTGAGGAAACGTATACTTAACGAAGTCTGTATGTTAATTGTAGGAAAACGACCCCAAGGAAGCAAATTTGGTGTTGAAAGAATTACAAAAGATGGAAGGTACGTAGTATGTTTTGAAGATTGAATATATGCGGGAAAACCTTTTCCAAGTCCATGAGAAATAGCTGCTATATTTATGCTCTTTCCGTAATATTTACGATATGGTTTGTCATTCATATGTCAAACATATCTAGTGGAAATATGTATACTTTCTGACACACCCTTCGTCTATATATTAACGGTTATAATATATGTTTTGATTTAGTCTTAAACCCACTGTTCACTTTCCGACCACAGTGTCTCAAGAACACAAATCAGTCCAGAATTGTGACATAGTAAACCATGAAACGAAGGTTCAGTGACACAATAAACCCTATAGCTCCAGTCGTCATCGTTGCAGGTACAGGTGAAATAACAGATCGGTGGCCATGTAATATTAATAAAGTTGAAAGGACATATTTTATAGGGGTACACAGAAACACTGTAGGTAATTCAATATAATTCACTGTCGTGTGACAGAAGTACTGTATGTAAGTCAACTTAAATCGATCTAACACATTGTTAGTTTCAGTAAAGCTGAGTAACGAACTGTTGTGTCGCCATTGTTTCTGGTGTCTCACTTGATCCGCTGGGTTTATAGATGTTTGCAGCAGTGTGACGCCTGGCAACAAACACTAACTTGTATGTACAAACTGTTTAAGTGGACGGGAACAAAAGGAAGTGCAGTTAAAGCCAGCACCTTTTGCCCAAACTCGGTGTCATAGATTGATGATCAAACATGATACTTTTCGACGCCGTTTTGCCTTTTGGCAATATAGAAGCGATACTGGTTATTCTCTGGCATTAACGGTTTATTACGTATTCAAGTTGGCAATTGTAGATATCTGCGTGTAGGGGGCATCCAAGTAAAAAATGCACTAACCCTTGTGTTCACACTAGAATTGTGTGTTTAACGCCGTAATCGATCTTAGAAAAAATATGTAATTAATACATGTATGATAAAATTATCTAAATTTACAAATCAATACAAGGCAATACCGAGGTTTCACTATGGCTACAGAAAATACTGTGACAGTTTACATTCAAAGGCATTATAATACGGAAGCAGTGATTATATCAACAAAGGCAATGATGATAATATTCACCTCTCAATTACATCAATCCAACTTGCAAGATAAAACTAGTCGGATAGAACTAGTCAGCTGGTCTTGTGGCTTGAGATGTAAAGTGAGATCTGAGGCATTTATTCGCTCCCCTTATGTATACCCAAGAATAAGTCAAGACGATTCTAAAAAACGCTTTTGCTTGTCTCGACAAAGACCCAGGGTCCTTATTCTCGAAACATTCGTAGCCCTAAGAATTCTTAGCTTTGATCATAGCCAATGTGTTCAGAATGCACTTAAGAAGTTCGTAGGGCTACGAACGTTTCGAAAATTGCTAGCTTGGCTTTGATTCCCAAAATGAGTACTATAACATTGGGCCATCCGCTAAAAGAGGTCTCGAAATTGTCTGCGTTCGCACATTCCTTTCCTGTGACCAGTTTAGTCATGTTTATTTTACAGCCGCTTACACATACACATATGTTACACTGAATGGCACCCGTACTGTCAAACACACAGAGGCCTTGTTGTGACTGAAAACAAAAACGTAATCTAGGATAATTGATGTCATATTTCAAGTCGCACTGTGCAATACTTCAGCCAAATTATTGTCCACATAGTGTAAATAATCGAGTCTGGAAAAGACTGTCCAGTGAGTATCATTCCGAGCCTCTAATACAGCTATGTTGGTTAAATGAGAGAAATTAAAGTATGAAATTATTGTTTACCCTGATTCATGTGTCTCCAACATATATAACAAAACTGCATGACAACTAATGAAGGACAGAATAAAGCAAAAAAGAACTTAGAAAGGCTCTAGAGGTATATGATGATTAGATGTTCCAGTGACGATTATTGAAGGATACGCTGTCAGCGAAAACGGATTTCCTACAAACTTTGATCAGTAGTGTACCTAGGTGCATTCACTCGTGTATTGCAGGGCAAGGAGGCCTCACAGAGTACTGAAAAGACACAGACTGTAGGGGAATCACTACATATTCATTTCAACAAAAGTTCTATAGTTTATATACATGTATTAGATATTTGCCGAAACAATTTTCTCATTAGTCTCTGGGAATAATATGTACTACAGAAAGATAACATTTTCATTTGTTAAAGTTGCAAATCATTGAATGAAAAGTGAAATATGTGTACACACGATTAACAAAATGAAATGAAATGGTATTGAGCAATACTAGACTTACAAATCATCAAAAGCTGTACCCGTGAAACAGTCGTGCAAAATGTGCTGCATTGATGGAGCAAAATGTTAAGATTAAAGTTCAAGTCAGTTTTGGACAGTGAAGCGTGTTCAGTAACGCGTATGGCCATCATCAGCACAAATGCAAGCTTCTACACTTCTTTGCATTGGCCAAATGAGCCTTTAAAGTTGCTGTTGTGGAATGTTCTGCCGCTCTCTATGTAACGCCTGCTCAAGGTCATCCAGAGTCTGGGGGTGAACATGGAGACCGTAAACACGACTTTCAATAATGTCCCAAGCATGTTCAATTGGATTAAAATCAAGTGACCTTGCAGGCCAATCCTTATGCGTGATTGATCTAAACAACATCGTTAACAACTCTTTCTCGGCCATGATCATCCATGGACGGGCATTATCATCCATAAAAATGAAGTTAGGACCCGCTTGTTGTGCCAGAGGAATGATTACAGGTAGGTTTACACCGATTTGGGTGCACGTGTGAAGAGTGGAGGACATTCATGCCACACATCTTGCGTGTTGTTTCTGAAGGTGGTTGTGCTTTGGTGATGTTGTCAATATTATAAGATAAAACCATTTTACAGTCATTAAAGGTTATGTATTCTTTGAATATTTACCTTTCAGTAATATGTCGGCAAAAATCGCTATCAAGATTGATAAAGATATTACACTGCAAATACTTGTTGCCTAATTATTTTTTGTGAGGAGTATATATATGTTACAGGGAATGTGTGAAACGAGGGATTTCACGTAATCCCTAAAAGAGTCAGTGATTTCGTGAAATCAGTTACCCTCAGGGATTTCATGTATTCACTAAAACTTCAAGGGATTTCATGAAATTACTGAAATATTGACTCATGGATTTCATGAAATCTCTTTCAGTCTTTATTGAAATAAAGAACACAAAAATATATAAAGCGAGCACAGAGTATATGCTGATAAAATTCATTTATTGGGACAACATCGACTGTTATGACACCGGCTATTACACTTCAGTCCCGCTTTAAAGCAGTTACAACGTCTTAATTTACACTGGTTAGGACCACAGTTACATTTCTGGAAACCCTGACCCCCACAATTCTACTCGGAAATCACATTTGTTCGGAGACACTTATTGTCCATTGTCACACCAGTCGTAGAGAGCAGACGCTGAGGACAAACATCAAATTGAGAACGTGTGAACAAACCTTTGAGAATACCGGATTTCCCGCATATTCTATAATTGTCATTAGCTTGATCGTGATACATAACCACACCAAGAATGTTCATAGGGTCACCTCTTCCCCTGTCCAAATTTGGGATCGCCACGGACACGGTATCGCCGTCGTTTGCCCTCGGCAACTTGATTTTGCGGCGCTTGATCATCCTATCCTACACTGGCCCCCACAATAACACCTTCTTAACGAGTTGTCCCGGAGCGGCCCCTGAATTTGGTTGTTACGTAATAGACAGAGTGGCCGCTCTGGGATTACACCCTTGGTATGATACATACAGGTCACAACCTTTCTTATGCTGGAATATTTAGTTTTTATCCTTCTTCAATCATTAATCCATGACTGCTATATCTGAACCGACAAAATGCACTTCTCAAAACTTATCATGAACTAGCTCAATATTAGGTGCTGGATGGAAACTCCAACTCTTTGCACCAAATGACAACACAGGAAGAACCTTCCCATAAAAAAATATGAAGCAAAACATTAAGAGGTAAAGTATGGAAATTAGAATTCTAGAATGGTGGACATCATGCATCACCCGGGAATTGCTCTGAATCAGTGTCCCTTTAAGCTACAAACATGAATTTCACCACACATTCACTGATATCCTGACAGGAAATGTGTGTAATGGAACACCATGAAAATCAGTTATTTCATGAAATCCCTTGAAATTTTAGGGAATATATGAAATCCCTGGGGGTCACAGCGATTTCACGAAATCACTGAATCTTTCAGGGATTTCGTGAAATCCCTGGTGTCACACAATCTCAGTAACATATATAGTGTCAGAATACATTAAATACTTGCATCAGTGCCCACACACATAGACTACTAATTCTAGATAAATCTGGGACCCTCTCAAACTTTTACGCACGAGATTAGTGGAGACACAGTGTCACGTGTGTAGTGGGCAGACACAGACACTCTTCAGACACACCCAATGCTGTGATAACATTCCAATCATAACTGCGTAACTAATGTTTAAACAATAAACCAGTACTTGTACCAGACCCCCTGTACACCCGCCATGTTGTTGTGAGCCATACTGCATTTATTCATAATGTATTAAGTGTTTGTATCATTAGTGTGATGTGAAGAACGTAATAAGATGAAGATGTCCGACCTTTGTACAAATGTTTTGCACCAATGTATGTTTGGAAGAATATGTAGCTGTAACATAAAGTGTCCGACTTGTCTACCGAGTTTACTTTGTGTTACAGCAACACCGGCTGCCGCAAGTAGAGACACCGGGGCAGACGCCGACCTCCGTGCCGCCTGCAAGAAGGGGAGCCTGGCAGAGGTGAAGCGGATCCTGGACACATGTCGAGCTGACGTCAACTGTAGAGTCAGACACGGGATGACACCGGTGATGTGGGCAGCAGGGCGGGGACACAGAGATGTGGTGGAGCTCCTTGTGAATCAAGGTACTGATGTGTCACTGGTGGACAATGACGGGAACAACATCCTTCACCACGCCTGTCGGGAAGGACACAGGGAGACAGTGGAGTTTGTCCTGTCTCTGGACGGTGTGGACATCAACAGTAAAGAATGGAGGAGCAGAACACCTGTGATGGAGGCAGCAGAGCGGGGACACAGACATGTGGTGGAGCTTCTTGTGAGTAAAGGAGCTGATGTGTCACTGGTGGACAATGACTGTAACAACATCCTTCACCACGCCTGTCGGGAAGGAGACAGGAAGACAGTGGATTTTCTCCTGTCACTGGACGGGGTGGACATCAACAGTAGAGGAGGGAGCAGCAGGACACCGGTGATGGAGGCAGCAGAGTGGGGACACAATGATGTGGTGGAACTCCTTGTGAGTAAAGGTGCCGATGTATCACTGGTGGACGATGACGGTGACAACGTCCTTCACTGGGCCTGTGTGGGAGGAGGAAGGGAGACAGTGGAGTGTCTTCTGTGTCTGGGCTCTATGGACATCAACAGTAGAGGACGGTGTAGCCGGACACCGGTGATGGAGGCGGCACGACGGGGACACAATGATGTGGTAGAGCTCTTTGTGAGTAAAGGTGCCGATGTATCACTGGTGGACGATGACGGTGACAACGTCCTTCACTACGCCTGTATGGGAGGAGACAGGAAGACAGTAGAGTTTGTCCTGTCCCTGGAAGAGATGGACATCAACGTCAGGAACAACATCGGACAGACAGCGGCGGACGTGGCGAGACGTGAGGGACATACGAACTTGATGGAAGTGCTGGGGTCGCAACGCTGTCACGTAATGTAAATGGTCAGTCAGCAGAGTGTTGGTGTAGACAGTGACAGAGGACATGTCGTTACTGATGCAGACGTGGTGTGTGTCGTTCACGTCGTAGTGTTTACAGCAGTATATAGGTGAGAATATGCGTTGTGTTTCAGGAACATTCTCTACTGTTGGTGTGGCGCCAAGTTACAGTGACGACACGCAGCTAGATCTAATCAATAATACACACAGCCGCTTCATCCGATACAAAAAGTGCAGCAATGATGGAGCAGTGTTGAGTATTATGAGTATTATGACTACTTAAAAAAAGTTACTTTTCCTTAGGGACCGTTCATAATTTATGGCTGGGGGAGGAGGGGGTGATGATTTTTATGGAGAAGCATGTACAATGTGAATGACCTCTGTCCCCCACACCTAAGCTTTATGTACAAAAGAAGTGACCCCCCTGCATGTCATGATCCCCCTTCCCTTCCCATGATTTCTAAACATAAACTATTTTAATGTACAAATTTGCTGACCCTACCCCACCCCCGCCATACATTTGGAACGGTCCCTAACGTGCCGATTGAAACAGCAATTGTCATGTACCAAAGTAAATAACATACCTATTACGTTCTGATATGAAACAAACCCGTGTCCAATACCATCTACACATGTAACAAAGTTACTTTAAAAAGTACACCATTTAAGTTTACCTCATTGCTTGGTGTATGTATTTGCAATGTCGAAGAACGAGGACATTTGTATGTTCATTAATATCCTTGATTAAACCAAATATCTAGGCAACACAGTCGAAATTTGCCACTCTTCCGACAGAACATAAACTGGTTTTACCATTTAAATAATGCCCTGAATAGATAAACAATTAGATATATACTTTTATTATCCTCCATTGTGGAGAGCTCGTGCAATGAGAATTATAAGATTACATCAGAAATACAATGAGAATTAAAATGTATACATCAGAAATAGAGAGTGACTCTGTCTCCTTTCCATCATTCACCCTGTACTGGAAGACAGTTTGTGTTTTGTAGTACGCAGCACACGTCTTGTACAGGTACCGCACATCAGACAGTGTGAATTGTGATATCTATCATTTTCACTTAAAGTGAAGTTAGGATTACAGGATAATAGAGTTAGAGTCAGATCACCTTCAGACATATTGTGAAGAAAAACACTGAAGTCAATTGGTCCAGTATTGGCAAGTTCACATCACAGATCATCCCGCACTTCAGATGTATATTCAAATGACGTTATGGTGTGAGACAAGGGATCTGAAAAGAACTTTAACAGTTTGTAGACAGCTACAATTTTCATAAAATACCCCACAGAATGTATAAGGATTGGATTCTTCCGCACAGCTAATCAACCTGGGTGAACTGATACTGAAGAGTGAATGAGCTTGAATTCTTTGAGATCTGGGTCGTTATGGATCCGCTCAGTCCAAGATCTCAAGGTCGAATACTGCAGATTTTACTTTCGTTTCCCATAAGGTGTAACATGGGAAATTGCCGTTGTCGAGAAAGGTCCTGATATGATCCATTAAGCCATACTTATCACAAAGTCTATAGATATCTGACACAAGATCTTGTTGATTGGGTGAACATCCATGGTGAAAGTTGAGCAGTTGAGTGAAGAGGATCTTATGGAAGACATGGCGTATCATTTTCAACTGCCTGTCGAAGAACAGTAGTTTTCTGGGGTCTATCACGCCTTCAAGTGGCATAACACCAAGTAGACCCAAACATACGTCAAAACGAGTTAGTTTCGGCAATCCTTGAATACACGTAATTATATATGTGTATGCCCTCTCCAGCATCGAAAATTTAGCTTTCGTTAGTGCTCACCAGAGCTGACATCCGTATAGGGCCTTGGGCAGTGTTATTGCTTCAATAAGTGCGAGACAGGTTTGGGGACTGAGAAACATGGGACTAAATCCAGACCTAATGAGAATATGTACACTGGCTCTCATTGACGTATGGCATTCAGTGTTCTCTCTGTTGACGACATGTTAGCAGCTAGGGTTATTCCTACGTGCTTTATAGTGACAGTACGTGGCAAATTACTACCATAGAGCGTGAGATTAGGATCTCCTCCGTATTTGCGTTTGTCACATGGGAACGTCATGATCTCTGATTTGCTAGCAGAGAAAGTTAACCTACATCGTTTGCTATAGTTCTCGGCTATCAGCAATAATGTCTTTAGACCACTGTATGATGGGCTCACCAAGGCTATGTCATCTGCCTGTGTCGGGCAGCATGTGTCAAGATCGAGAATGAATGAACCTCCATTAGCACTAGTCTGTTCTGACAGGAGTTCATTAGGAACAAGACAAGATCCCGCCCTGACGAACACCCTGTAGTAAACTGAACCATCTTGATTTGTAGTTTCCTGTTTTCACAGAGCTCATCATACCAATATACAATCTGTCAAATGTCCGCCACATCTGGCCATTGACGCCATTATGAAATAGTTTGACCCTCAAACCATCATGCCAAACAGTATCCTTGGAAGAGTCAAGGAAGACAACACTGACATCTGACTGCAGTTCGTGATAGTAATGAATGGTTTCCTGTAAATTAAAAGACGCTTCGAGGGATGACAATCCAGGTTGGTATGCTATCTGCTGTCTGTTTGGGAAGACATCACTTTGCTTTAGTGCAGGTAGAAGCGGAAGTAGACACATTTCAAAGAGGCGTTCAATAACAGGAGTTAAAGAGACCCCTCTGTATGAGTTTGGATCTTTACGGTTCTTGTTTCCTCCTTTGAAAACTGGTACAATTATGCTATCCTTCCATACAGATGGTATAATGCCTGAACCTATTACAATGTTGAAGAGATGATATAGATGGGTGATAAGCATTTGACAACCATACTTCAAAAGCTCGTACACTAGATGGTCATCTATTCCAGCCTATTTGTTCTTCAGTTTGGCTATCGTGGTCTCAGTGATAAGATGTGTGTCATTGTCGGCATCCGATAAGCACTGTGAACGTATGTTACTTACTTTATTCTCAATGTCAGCTTTGCATGAAGCACCGAGGTGATCTTTTTCCGTACCATGGAACACAGTTGAAAGTGAGATGCCCATGCTCCCATCACTGATTCCGGTTCACTTACTACATTGCAGTCAGACATGGCAGGATATATTGTTGCAATGCTGTTATTGCCTCGTGATCTTTTTAACTTACGTCAATTTCAAAGATGTGGTCAAGCATCTAGTTTTGACTTAGTATGCTCAGCTGTAGCAACTCTGAGCTCACGCTGGAAAGTATCTTTCACACGCTTATAATGACGGAAGGAATCGTGCTCCATCCCTCTTGGTTGACCATCTGGGATCCAAGCACTTCTTGCAAACTTCATATCATTATGATGTGTTTTCAAAGACTGAGTCCAGTAAGGTCTATGGGCATCATTATATTTCTTTGTTGGTAATGTTTCCGCTGCTGCTCTCACCATTGTTTCAACTATGCTAGAATAATATCCTTCATTTTTACAGCTTATGTAGGGTTCTTCAGGAACGCGTAATGGCCATAGCATGTGTGATACAGCAAAAGTGTATCAGTAGGTATATTGTGTTGTTTTGTACTTTCTCATGAGATACGGGCCTTTTGTGAATACGACCTTGGAATAAAGCAAACATCACATATTGATAACGAACATAACACCGGATAATGGTCCGAGGTGTTAAAGATGTCATCATCTAGAATCTGAGACTTGGTCATATTACATATGCTGGATTTGTCTATAAGAATGTGATCTATCATAGTTTGGGGGCCTCCACTGTAAGAACAAAATGTCCAATCAGGTCCTTCATAACTGACACTAAGTTATTGGAAACCAGATTATGAAAACGTGTGTTCCTTGCATCAAAGGTGAAATTACATCTGGGGCCTTGTACCACAGGTTTCATATCACCCACCAATATAACAGTACCTAGTGTTGAATACGCTTCAAGCAGTTCATCAACTTTATCAACACTCCATAGGAATCTCTGAATGTCATTGAATGCTGCAGGCAGATAGACACATAAGAAATAAACTGGTCTTGAGTTGGTACATGCATCTCGACACCAGTGATGGAAGTCAAACTCCGTTTCAATTGGTTGCATGAAGGTTAAAATCCTTTCAGACACCAAGAGAGCCAGACCTGCTTTAGCAATACAACTATTCGGATTATGTATGTAATCCTCTCCATAGCAGTTAACAAACGCTTCGTGCTGGCGAAGCAGTTCTTTTAGCAAGTAGAGATGATGCGTCTGCAACTGCTGTTCCGTTAAGCCACTCATATCAATATCATATTCCTTCAGACAGTGTAGTAGGCAAGGGATACTTGTCGACAAACCTCGACAATTCCACGTCATAACGTTGATAGGAGATATTTGGGTTTAATTAGTTCGCTTACTTCTGCCAACGTCGAGGAATCCAACGCTTAATGACAATTCCGCTGGACCAGAAACGTGAATCACTTACAACTTGTCTATCAGAGAATGGTACGTTGTGCCCAAGCAACGCATCGGTGGGGATTGTAGTTATACCTTATTGAGGTGACATGAATACCTCTATCTGACCGAAATTCTCTCATGTTATCTTCATTCGTATCTTCACTGATATTACCAACGTATTATCTAGCTAATAGTGGATGGTGCTAGTACACTGTATGTATTTCGTGGTATCCTGTGTTATTTACAGAAGTTTGTTTTGAACTAAATTCAGTAAGGTCTTTTCACGGTCCTTTTATTTCTGGTGTTCTTTGTGTCGAAACTAAGGGATATGCCATATCTTCTATATTTGATATTTTTGATAAAAGAATCATAACCTGTGTCAACTGATTTCCTGTTACCCACATTCCTCTGGTTGTTTGTTGATTTAGATTCCTCGCTTTGATTGAATTCATGGTGTCTGTTATCCACCGGTTGTACCGTGATCTTAGCGAGTAATTCGTCATAAAAAAGGGCAGGTCAGAACTATGATTAATCAACTCATTGTGTTTTACTGCATTCTCATTGTCTGGCGGTAAACTGGTGTCTATTTCATCAAGAGTGGTTGCCTGATTGTTCTGACTTGTCGCGTCAGAGGTCATATCTTCAGCCTGGGTCAATGTTACGACTCCTGTACGGGTTAATGCCTTCTCGACTTCAGCTTGTGTCATATGCTCCTCACAAAAAGATAAGCAACACACATATTTAGTCTCATTACATTTTCATTGATTGAAAATCGCAAATCAAATGATGCGATAGAAAGGTGAAACATGTACACACGATTAACAAAATGAAATGAATTTGTATTGAGCAATATTAGACTTACAAATCATCAAAAGCAACATACCCGTGAAACAGTCGTGCAAAATGTGCTGCATTGATGGAGCAAAATGTTAAGATTGAGGTTCAAGTCAGTTTTGGACAGTGAAGCAGTGTTTAGTAACGCGTGTGACTACCATGAGCACAAATGTTTTACCGTGTATTTTTATGTGGATAACACGGGCATCTGTATGCCATTTATTTTACGTTAGGGGAACAAATCAAATCAGAAGAAGGTATTTTCAGGAAAGGGCCTTGCCTTGCTACTTCTCTCACTAGTGTAGAATGGGGGATGTAGGAGTAAAGCTCCCTTTATATAATGAAATTTAGTTCCAGGGCCCGGTTGTTCAAAAGCACGTAAAATATTAACGGACCGTTAACTATGATCTTTAACGGATTGTCAGCGTTAGGAGCGTGAAAGCCCGTTGCTCAAGGCACTGTTAACATTGATACATATTACATTGGGTGGATATGCATGCTTCGTTTAAAACACATTCTGGTTATACCAGCCCGACCACCACCCATAATCCCCCTGCGACTGTGAAAATTAGTAGTTTTCTACTCTATGCATACATGTATTTCAACAAAAGCACACGTCACTGAAAATATATTGATGTGCTTCATTGTGTAG